CCCTATGTTAGGAACACTAACTCATAGCAAACGGCACGACCAATTCTCCTTCATTTCGATACACTCCAACTTGGAAGGACATCAATTTGACTGAGACAAAGTTACAGCACTAGGACAAGCGTGATAAAGACAAGCACGAGAAATAATGGAGGCCTGGTTTTCAACCACCGATGCAATTAGCAAACATGTTGAAATACACCCCATCCACTTACCACTACTGTACAAAACTGGAAACAAGATGCTCCCCATGACATACCGGGCCATATAAATTCACAGCGGGACAAAACAACAGCGCTTCAACAGAGGCTACACAGCACTGATGGTCACATAGACGGGAGATGAAATGTTTGCACGAAAACCAGTCAGCTCGGCGAACCAACCAACAACTCCTTTCTCAGTCTGCATAAACTGCAGTATGACGTGGCTCAAATGTCACAAGATGTTTAATTGCTGACTCATTCATTTTCTAAAACCAGCTGCTACAACCTTATTGCACTCTGTCAATCTTCCACAAAAATGTAACATCAAAATGCTCCTGCAGTGATTGTCATGAGGTCAGTCAGGTGTACTTCACAGAAAATGAGTTCCCCAGTTGGGGCTGTCAATCTTGTCCAATCAGGGAGCCCTGGCTGACAGATAAGAACAGGAGTGTCAGAGGTTCAGTTCACTCTGAGAGCTAGCTGAGGAAGCTGGATCAGTGTCATGGACTCTCCATCTGTAAATAAAGGGTGACTTGGTGGCAGCATACCAGCCTCTGTGGAGTTATTTCAGTTCCTATGATATTATGATGCATAATCTGCAGAGGAAATCAACCAGGTACTTTGGAAATAATTTGTCCCCTTGATCAGTCACTTCGAGAATCAGCTAACAACCATGGAAATCCTCAAAAGCAAATCGTCGATCTAAACTCTACTACTTCCAAGCACCCAATCTTGAACACCGGACCTGCTTCATGAATTTGTCTAACATGTTTCGGCAGCTCTCCGGCCAGATTCACAACAACTACAAAATCATATTGCTGCCTCAGCAATAAAGCAGCAGCAAATAGTAATAGCAAGGCTCTGCATTCCTCATATCATTCTGAATAGACTACTTTCCCTGTAGCAAGAATACCAGGAACTTGGCTGGATCTTACCAGCCCAAGAAACAAGTTGTAAGTGGAGCAGTGGAAAATGAGGGGAGCTCTCATAGAGATGTTTCCCCAGGAGACAATATAGGAACAGACTGAGAACTGGTCCATACTCCAAGGGGACAAGGTAGCCATTTTGAGCAACTCCTTATATTTCATTGACAGTACAGCTACGCTCCACTCACCTCAAACCTCCCAAATTACCATCGGCTATTGGCCAAGTCATCTACTCACTCAAGGCCTAGTGGCAAGCCAGGGTCCCCACCACAATATCAGAGTCACAAGGATATAAGGCCATCAGTGAGGATTTCCCTCTCATCTCAATGTCCCCACCAGTTTTGGAGGTCTTCAGTGCAACCTTTCTTTGTCAACCAAAGGCAACCTTGTAATTTCCAAGCTGATTCAACGAGGCCCTCACCTCCCGATGGGGCTGCCGAGATCGCAGACCTGTCAGCCCTCCCGAGTGGTTTCCCAAACGTAGCAGCATACCCTCTGACTGGGGACAAAAACGTAGCAGGCAGGCAGGATTCAGGCAAGTGGAAGATGTTTATTCAAGCAGAAACCATTTGAAGCAGGGAGAGGGCCAAAGGTCTTCCCTGAATCTGGCCTCAACATCAGAAAGCAAGTTTTTCCCTTACTCTTTGGCTCAGGAAGAGAGATCAATGGCACACCCTGATTTTTACAGTGAAAATACTTCATTTTATACATTTTCTGTTACAATAATCAAATACAGCATAGTCACTGTCCTACCCTCTTAATCCATACACCCAATCCCGTGGGATACCTAATCAATGATGGGCATTCCTAGGGACAGCCCCAGGTTCCAATGGTCTTATGGCATTTACCAGATATATGGACGGAAAATATTCAACATGGTGCTCAGTTACGAGTGGTGTACCACAAAGATCTGTTCTGGGTCCTCTTCTATTTGTGATTTTTGTAAATGATTTGGATGTAGGAGTGGAAGGGTGGATTAGTAAGTTCGCGGACGATACGAAGGTGGGTCACGTTGTGGACAGTGCGGAGGGCTGTTCTAGGTTACAAAGGGACATTGCTAGGATGCAGAGCTGGGCTGAGAAGTGGCAGATGGAGTTTAACCCTGAAAAGTGTGAGGTGGTTCATTCTGGAAGGACAAATCTGAAAGCAGAATACAGGGTTAACAGAAAGATTCCTGGCAGTGTGGAGGAGCAGAGGGATCTCGGGGTTCATGTCCACAGTTCCCTGAAAGCTGCCACCCAGGTGGATAGAGTTGTTAAGAAGGCGTATGGTGTGTTAGCTTTTATTAATAGAGGGATTGAGTTCAAGAGCCATGAAGTAATGCTCCAGCTATACAAAACCCTGGTTCGGCCACATCTAGAGTATTGTGTCCAGTTCTGGTCGCCTCATTACAGGAAAGATGTGGAAGCGTCGGAAAAGGTGCAGAGGAGATTTACCAGGATGTTGCCTGGAATGGAGGGAAGGTCTTACGAGGAAAGGTTGAGAGAGCTAGGGTTTTTCTCTTTAGAACGATGAAGGATGAGAGGTGACCTGATAGAGGTGTACAAAGTGATGAAAGGTATAGATAGAGTGGACAGCCAGAGACGTTTTCCTGGGGTGGAGGTAGCTATTATGAGGGGGCATAGTTTAAAAGTGAGTGGAGATAGATATAGGGGAGACGTCAGAGGTAGGTTCTTTACTCAGAGAGTGGTAGGGGCGTGGAATGCATTATCAGACAGGGTAGTGGAGTCGGCCTCATTAGGGGCATTTAAGCGGCTATTAGATAGGCATATGGATGATAGTATAAGGTAGGGGTGGAGGTTAGACAGACCTTAGGATTAGGGTAAAATTTCAGCACAACATCGTGGGCCGAAGGACCTGTACTGTGCTGTACAGTTCTATGTTCTATGTAGATACTGTAATCTCTAGGCTTGGGGTCTTTCTATGCATCCTATTCATTCACATTCCAAAGTTGCTGGCTAACACCTTCAGATCTGTTTCAGGCTGCTTATCTCTAAGGACAGTGTGAATTCTATTATTCGTTGTACTACATGTGCTTTCTTTGATCAAATTCAGCCATTCCTCTACTATTTCCCACTTTCCTAACTGTATATGCGAAAATACAAAAGACACCTAGTTTTAACTATATGCTATAAGGTTAATTTCTATTGTAAATTTAGTTACAAAACGTAAAGTTGTACAGCTACTTCTACCGTTAGCACTTTGTAATTAATGCGTTGTGAACAATCTATCTTGCTCAGGGCGTTAGATTAGGTGTTTCCTAAGGCTAATTAACTTTCACATCTAGGTTTTAGTGCTTGTCCCCTAATGCTTGTATTATATTCTGGTTATATGTTGGAAACTACTTCTATGATTATCTGAATAGTCTTTAACTGAAGCCTATTTCTTAAAACTATAGGTAAAAAGCTAATTACTGCAAAATACCTTTAGCTGTTGTCTTTGCAGCTGCTTAGGGAGTTAATCTTGGCTGGTTCATGGGCTGAGACCTGCACCTGGTGCTTTTCATTTATCTGTTCTTTGGCATTCTCTTATCAAAACTGTCTCAAACGGTTAGTAGTAAGGCTCTTTGCTAACCTTGGAGTAGTCTTGTTCAAAAGTGAAAGACATTGGTACCTTAAATGTTAGAGCAGGCTGTCCCATTTTGTTTTAATCCTATCAGCCATATTGTGTCTTTCAAACACGGGCCGCTTTGGTGTAAGCGGGTACGGGTCACTTTGTATGGACAGGTACAGGTCACCCCTACACCAAAGCTGCTGGCCCACTGCTGTCCATTATAGGGAGAAGTGGAAGGATCATCTGCTTCCAGCACATGAGGTTTCAAGTCCCTCAGTTGGTTCTGATACCTACAGGAAAATCCAGCTTCGAGTTACCTCTCAAGGTGTTGAGTGTCAGAAATAAACGTGGTTTTTTTTAAGATGTAGCGCCTGTCTAAGAATCTAAATAATTGTAAAAGTAGAGAAAGCTTTAAGGTTTTAGCAAAGATTTGTAGCTCACGTTGTGAGTGAGGTTGCTGATTCGCTCGCGGAGCTGGTTTGTTTTCATTCAGACGTTTCGTCACCATGCTAGGTAACATTATCAGTGAGACCTCCAATGAAGCAATGTTTTTCTACTCCACTTGGAATTTATACTGTTCGGGTCCATTATGGTGAGTAGTATATAATCCCATTTACAAACCCATACAGAACAGAACTGGAAATGACACTATTCACCATAACAGGCCAGAGAGTATAAATTCCAAGCAGAGTAGAACAACATCACTTCATCGGAGGCCTCACTGATAATGTCACCTTGCATGGTGACGAAACATCTGACGGAAAACAAACCAGCTCGGCAAGCAAGTCAGTGCAGAAGGCTTTGCAAGCATGATGGTTAAGGTACAATGATAAAGTAAAGAGGCAATTAAGATGCTGAATTTGTTAGTACAGGAATAAGATACAAGTAAAAAGGTGTAACTCTGTAAAGAGCTGAGTGCTTCAAGCAGTTCTGCTTAACTCTTGAAAGCGATGAACTTAGAGGGCTATGGAGATAGGGCTTGAGAATTACACTGGCTTGGTAGCTCTTTCGGCAGCCCAGTACAACTCCTATACTGTAAAATTCTGCAATTCTACACCTAATTTTTGAGAAGCAGCTTTTATTTGTGAGTGAGTGCAGAGGTAAGAAAATAAAATGATTCCAGGCATCTTAATTACCTATCAACGGTTGTACTAGGTTTGATTTCCAAGAACAAGGTTAACTTACTTGATTTTTTATGATAAGTTTGATTTTTTTTTAAGAATACTGGATCGGGCAAATTGTGCCCTAGAATTAAGAATATAAATGCCAGACAATATTAAGAAACAAACTGAAGGTCACTTGGAATTTTGTATAAACTCACCAATTTTTTGTCCAGGCACAGACACTCTGATTCCTTTAGAGCTAAATAACAGATCAATGATAAAAATTGTCAGTGAAAGGAACAATTTCTCCTTTGTAATCATTAACAGTGCTTTAATGTAATGTACATAGCTGGGAGATAGTTTAGTTCCAATGGAAACCAGCTTACAAAAAACAGAAGCAGAATATCCTCCTTTACCTGAGCCTAAACTTTCAAAAACAGAGTGAGCTCAGTTTAGAGAATAGAAATTTTAAAAACAAGAATTTGAATTTCTTGTTGAATTCATTGAATTGAATTCATTTTTGAAACAAGAATCCAAACCATTTCTCATTTTATTGGAGGCGAACTGAGAGACGGGGGGCATTCTGATCACTGAAACTCGATTAGTCATTTCAATATTTAAAAAAGGCCACGTGCCTTCATTTTAACACCCACTGTATTTTTAACTCATGTCAGCTCGGTTTCCCAGGGCTTAGGAAATCTCAGCTGAAATGAGGCATGAAGGGCCAATCCAAGTGATATATGGTTAAAAGAACATGCAAATGAAGCAGCCTGATTTGTGAAAAAAAAGCTTCTTCGCTCAATAAGGAGTTAAGGCATGGAATGCACTGCATTCTGAAAATGTGGTGGAGGCAGGCTCATTTGAGGTATTTAATAGAAATGGTGTGCAGGGATTGGCACTAGGGAATAGAACCCATACAGGCACAATGGGCTGAATGGCCTCCCCTGCACCATAACAGTTCTGTAATTCTGTGATGTGGCTTTACAGCACAATCTGTAGGCCAGGAGCAGCAGGAATGTTTTGTCCAGCCTTCCAACATTCCCCTCAATCTGTCTGCTCCCTCCTAACCGCTATCCCGAAATAACATTCCACACACCCCCAGAATTACCAGATCCCAGTCCAGCATTTGCAAGCTCTAACTATATCTCTCGGCACCTAATAGGTCTTCAGAATTTTAATCAGGCTGGTTGCAAACATGAAACCAAGAAGAAGAAATTTAAAGTCGAATCAGAGATAGTAGGAACTGCAGATGCTGGAGAATCCGAGACAACAAGGTGCAGGGCTGGATGAACACAGCAGGCCAAGCAGCATCATAGGAGCAGAGAGGCTGACGTTTCGGGCCTAGACCCTTCATCAGAAAAGCCAGTTTAACTGCATGGGCTTCCACTCTTCTCAATAACTGAACCTCAAAACAGTTTCATCCGAGCACAGAATGAGATGCCGGCCTATAATTTATAGTCACAGTCAGACTGTTTTGTTACCCTGTGGCAATGAGAGACACTTCACTTATACACCGCAGAATAATTTGGCTAGCTTTCAAAGATTTAATTATTCAGAGGATAATGAGAAACCGTACAAACAGCACTGTGATCTTCTCTTTTCCAAACGTGTTATTAATTACATCCTTATTTTCCCTGCAGTTGGGAATCACAATGTCAACATTACAGCTAAAGATTTTTTCAATTGATACTGAAAGACAACACTTTTAAATAAAAAAACCTACTGTAGTTGCAAAAAAAAATGAATAAAGATACTCTCTCTACCCACAACGACACAAAAGACACAGAATGCCAAATGGTAGTGTTGTAGAATGGGGCCCGGCATATTCCACTGAAGTGGTGAAATGTAGACTTCTTTGTGACAGCAAACAGGAACAGAACGAAAAGAAAATGATGAAGAAAAATACAAGGTAACTGCAGGGACAGAAAAATCAAATGCAAAATTAAATCAAGCTGCTCCTGCCTGTCTTAGTAATCACCTTAACAGCATCTGATTCCCAGGTGCTCCATCCAATTAATATAATCGGGTGTGACGGTGACCTGAATGAGTGTATTTCAGGTGAAGTATTTAAAAGTGGATCAAACCTAGTGGGTTTTGAATGCTCAGTGGTTGAACATATTCAAGATTGTATTTAAAAATATAGGTGACTGATAAGGGAATTAAGGGATGTGAGGATAGTGCAGGAAGTCATGAAGTGTTTCTCCTACCTTCACTCTAACTTCTTAATCAACAGACCAAGTTGCAAGCATTTCCTTTCGTAAGTTTCTGTACGTTCACAGGATGCAATTCTCTCTTTAATTCTCTGAGACACACAGACACAGGCCAATGCACTGATTTTTTTTTTCAGGGGGGAACTTAAAAAGCTCAGGGGGGTACAATGCAGAAGGCCATTCAGCCCATCGTATCTCAGATGAGTCTCCAAGTGAGTATCTCACCTAGTGCCATTCTTCCTTTAATCCTTGTTCCTTTTACATAACCATCTACTGCTGTTTGAATATGCCAATTAAACCTACCTCCACTAGATTCTCATGCAGTATATTCTAGACCCTAAACTCTTGGTTGTGTGGAAAAGCTTTTCCTGGTAGCTATTTTGCTTCTTTTATTAATCACATAAAATCTGTGCCCCCTCCATTTCTTGATCTTTAGGACCGAGTACTTTTAGCTGAATTTACACTGTCCAGATCTCATACTTCAAAAAAAGATCACCTCTCTGCCTTCCATTCTCCAGGGAAAACAGTCTCAACTCCAGCCATCTATCCAACTACACAGCTGCAATTCCTCATTCACAAATCACTGGCACTTTCTGATAGGTCTCATCAGTTGCAAAGTGCACGTGCTTCCGAGCCACAACAAACATGTATTGTGAGACACACCCATCAGCAGCAGATGCTAAGATTCAGCAAATATTCCTGCTGATTATGGGGGGGAGCCAGAAGTGAAGAAATTAAGACAGGGTCGTGAACAAAGCGTTTGGTATACTTGCCTTTATTGGTCAGTGCATGGAATATAGGAGTTGGGAAGTCACGTTGCAGTTGTACAGGACCTTCACGAGGTCACTTTTGGAATACTGCATTCAATTCCAGTCTCCATGCTATAGGAAAGATGTTGTGAAACTTGAAAGTTTTCAGAAAAGCTTTACAAGGATATTGCCAGGGTTGGAGGTTTTGAGCTATTGGGAGAGGCTGAATAGGCTGGGACTATTTTCCCTAGAGCATCAGAGGCTAAATACCTTATACAGGTTTATAAAATCATGACGGGCATGGATAGGGTGAATGGCCAAGGGCTTTTCCCCACAGTAGGGGAGTACAAAACCAGAAGGTGTTTAAGGTGAGAGAGGAGAGATTTAAAAGTGACCCGAGACGCATTTTTCACATAGAGGGTGGTGTATATATTGAACAAGCTGCCAGAGGAAGTCATGGAGGCTGGTACAATTTCAACATTTAAAAGGCATCTGGATGGGTATATGAATAGGAAAGGTTTAGAGGAATATGGGCCAAATGCTAGCAAATGGGACTAGATTAATTTAGGGTATCTGGTCAATGTAGACAAGTTGACAGAAGGGTTTATTTCTGTGCTGTGCATCTCTATGACTGTATGGTGACTTTGACAGCCACAACAGATCCAGTGACAGGGGTGCTTCTTCCAGAAGGCTGCGTATATCAGTGACCACCTAATGTGAAACCCTGAACCTCCTGCGGCACCAGTGCCAGAAATGTCAACGGAGCTCATCCTCTGTTGCAAACTTGATTTGGAGATTAACCTCAGAGAACTGAATGCAGGAGTTGGCAGGTCATGTTGCAGCCATACAGGACATTGGTTAGGCCATTTTTGGAATACTGTGTTCAATTCTGAGAAGTCAGGTTACATGTGAATGATGTGCGATGCAGTTCTGCACATGTAGTTTCTCCTGTGAAATGGAAGATTGGAGCTGATCCTCCTTTTGCTGTTCATCTTAGTCCTCACCTAAGGTCCAAGGTAAAGTCGCACATACAGGGCAATCATTCTGAACTGATTCTTGACAGACACAAAGTGACAAGGAGGTCCAGAAAACTCCAAGGCAGTGATAGTGATGTCCAAAATGTTACAAAGCAGTGAAAGCATATGATAAAATAAAACAAAGAATTGTGGATGCTGGAAATTTGAAGCCAAAACAGAAACAGCTAGAGAAACTCAGCAGGTCTCACAGCATCATGACTGATGCTGCCAGATTTGAGTTTCTTCAACCAATTTTATTTTGGAAACCATGTGCTCATCAGTTCTGTGAACACATAGATGCAATGTTCATTTGCTTATTCACCTTGACTTCTGGCAAGTTCCAGAGGCTGGGGAAACACTCAAATGCAAGAATTAAATTCAACTAGCATAACTGAAACAGCCATTAATTGCCTTTAATATGTTAAAATTGGCTGGTGATTTGCAAGAATAGCAGCAGAAAGTTGAGTTTGAAAATAATTGGCCTCTGCTAGCTTTCTGACATATAATCTCAGCCCTTTTCAATGGCTACTTGACCAAAAATCCACAGTTTTTGTTTATAAAGATCAAACCGTCTCCCTGACCCCACCATTGTAAGTCAAATCACAAGCGATCTAAGATCCTTGGGTGGCACAGTAGCCCAGTGGTTAGCACTGCTGCCTCACAGTGCCAGGGATCTGGGTTCAATTCCACCCTTGGGCAACTGTCTATGTGGAGTTTGCATATTCTCCCCGTGACTGCGTAGGTTTCCTCCCACAGTCCAAAGATATGCAAGTTAGGTAGATTGGCCATGCTAAATTGCCCCGTAGTGTCCACAGATGTGTAGGTTAGGTGGGTTAGCCATAGGAAACACAGGGTTACAGGGATAGGGTGGGGGGATGTGTCTGGGCCGGATGCTGTTCGGAGGGTAAGTGTGGACTCATTGGGCCGAACAGCGTGTTTCCACACTGTAGGGATTCTACGAAAGAAATCCTGGTGATAACAGGACTATTAGGAAATCAAACATATCAACACGAGTTAAGTCTTGGCTCAAAGTAAACTGTATACTTACCTCAATCGATTTTCAGTTGGTTTGAAGCCACAGATTCCACAAAATGCAGCTGGCACCCGGATGCTGCCACCAATATCACTCCCAATGCCAAAGACTGAACCACCAGATGCGATCAGAGCACTCTCACCACCAGATGACCCGCCGGGTGTACGTTTGTGGTCATGTGGGTTGATGGTTTGCCCAAAAATAGGGTTACTGCAGTCAAAGCTTTAACAAAAAAAAACAAAATTTATCCTCATCATGAACAGTTTTATATTTCTCAGCCTTTCCTAGATTTTGGTCTCTTACACTCAGGATACCACAGATAAAAAACTTAGCCCTTTCTAGGCACATACCAATGTTATTCAAAAACCAGGGCAAGGAGGTGATTTCACCCATTGATTTTGCACCCTGCTGAAAAGCAGCTATCCCATCTGGGTCAGACTCTGATAACATGTGTAAAAGACCACTTGCTTGCTCAGGATTATATAAGTGAGTTTGTTTACACAAGTGGAGACAACAGTTGACTTTGCTTGATTGACATCTCCATGAGGATATAAAGTTCTTTTTTGTGATCACTTTTGTCAATGTCTCAATGTTTAGATATTTTCCTATCAACCCTGTTCAGAGATGGTATTACACACTTTTGGAGCAGATGAGACTTGAACCCATCCTCCTGACTCAGGAGGTAGGGGCACAAGAGCCTATCTCAACATCTTTTAAGTTTTTTTATTTAACTTAATTTTCTAATCAATCAGTTCAGAGATGTTATGGCACACCTCTGGAGCAGGTGGGACTTGAATCCAGGTCTCTTGGTCCAGGGGTAGTGGCACTACCACCGTGCCACAAGAGGGGCCCCCCTGCCTCAATATGTAATTGTACACGGTTAAGATGTGTCGGGTGCATAAACCTTTGTTATTAATATTTTAACACTTCTATTTGGGGGGGGGCGAGGAGGCGGTGGTGGTGGTGTTGGGGAAATGGTGTTCCTAAAACCCTAAGGGTAAGAACAGGGGACTTTTTTTTCCTAAGTAGTTTCATGTATGTCATTGTTACCATAGCATTGACTGATTCTGTGCCTTGTGTATTTAGCAGAGGGTATGAGAGGCCATTGAAGGTAGTGGCATGAGTTGGCACGCGGAAGGAGAGCAAGAGGATGTGAAGGAAGAAGGATGGTGAGCCTAAAATGTAAGCAAAACAACAGTAACGCAATCCAAGAGAGCTGAAGCACACTTTTTAACCAGGCTACTTTGGAACTTGGCTGCTCCTTTAGCTTGCTTCCAGGGGCAGTAGGTCTACTGTGTCCTACACCCTACTCCTGGAGTGAAGATCACCCCATTGGGAACAGTCTGCACCACGCCATGAGTGACAAGCCAGGGAATTTCCCAACTCCCGCTACCTGTGTCCACAGTAAAAGTCTAGCCATTGGATTAGTTGCAAATTCCCCCAAAAGTTATTTGTTCATTTATGTATGTGGAAGTAGTGTGAACTAATGCCGATTGGTGTGTTAAAAAGGAGAGGGGAAAGACAAGGCATAGAAGGGAGAATGACAGCATGGATTGACGGAATATTAAACACAGAGTCAGAGTCATTGTTATGACTAACAGGAGAGAGAACCAGAAAAATCTCAGGGAGACAAAGTTTGGGATGTTTGGAGTAGAAGGCTGCTTGTGCTCTTTGAGCTATCACGTAGGATGCAGAAGGGAGGATGATCTCCAGTCAAAGAAATGTGTCCTGTGGCAATTCAAAGACGTGAAAATTTTTAAAAGTGGGGCAACATGGTAGGTCAGTGGTTGGCACTGTTGCCTCACAGCACCAGGGAGCCAGGTTCGATTCTAACCTCGGGCGGCTTTGTGTGTGGAGTTTGCAAATTCTCCCTGTGTCTGCGTGGGTTTCCTCCCACCGTCCAAAGATGTGCAGGTTAGGTGGATTGGCCGTGCTAAATTGCCCATAGTGTTCAGGGATGTGCAGTCTAGGTGAATTAGCCGTGGGAAATGCAGGGTTACAGGGACAGGGTAGGGGGTGCAGGTCTGGGGTGGGATGCTCTTCAGAGGGTCAGTAGGGACTTGATGGGCCAAAAGACCTTCTAACAACTCTAGTGATTCTATGGATTCTACAATTCAACAGTCATTGATGATTGCGCTGCTGTGCACCACTGTAGGGGGAATGTTAAATGGGTGGTGTGCCAATCATAACAGTTTGCCTGAACCTGGATGGTGACCAGCTTCTCTTGTGTTACCGTGGCTGCACTCATCCAGGTAAGTGAAGAATTTAAATGACATACTCCTGCACCAACCGAGATCGATTTGTTCAGACCTTATTGAGGAGCAACCTGAAACCTTACTGATTTGTACGATTCCATACTATTCCAAGCCATGCCGTAGCTACTGCACTGTCAATGGATGAGGGGTAGGGAGAAAAATGGCAATTAAATATAGCTCAAACGAAGCACAGAGGGTAGGACAATCTCTCTAAAACAAAACAAAAAGGATGTTTCATTGATAATGTTAGACGCTGACATAAAAAACTGCAATAACTAAATGACTGCCACACCAAACAAATAGTTTTTGTGTATTCAAATCACCCATTCGACAATGACAACTGGAGACAAGGGATCCAAAATTTCAGGTTATTAGGTTCTGAATACCAAATAGGATCTCAAACAATGTGGCTGCAAGCCAAGCCATGCACTTCCATACCTCCTTGCAAAGCTGCAAGGAGAAATCGCTGAGTCATAATCTTCCACGACCATTAAAGATCCTCTCCCTCTGTTTCCTGAGAACTCTTGAATTGGCTTTCAGCAGTAAGGCTCCTGCTGTAGTGATTTCTCCTTGCAACTTTGATCATACAAATCAGTAAGGCTCAAAATGGTCGAAGCAAATCAATCTCAGTTGGGGCAGGAATATGTCACTTAATTCTCCACTTACGTGGATGTGCGCAGCCATAACAACACATGAGAAGCTGGACACTACCCAGGTCAAGGCAACCTGTTATGATTGGCACCTCATCCATTAAACATGCGCCCCACAGTGATACACAGCAGCACAATCGTCAGCTGTTGAATCATAGGATTCCTATAGTTGTTAGCAGACCATTCGGCCCATCAAGTCTGCAGTGACCTTCTGAACAGCATTCCACCAAGACTTGTACCCCCTACCCTATCCCTGCATTTCCCATGACTAATCCACCTATCCTGCACATCAGGAGAATGTGCAAATTCCACACAGACAGTCGCCCGAGCTTGGAAGTGAACCCAGGTCCCTGGCGCTGTGAGGCAAGAGTGCTAACCACTGAACCACTGCACCACCCCACTTTTAAACTTAATTTAAAATAGAAAATAAAGGAATTAAGAAAGACTTTGAGATGTTAACTATTACTTTATTTCTTTTTTCTAAAAAAAGACATTCTATGAAGGTTATGCTTAACTTTTTAAACTCTGTTTCTCTTACTACTTAGTACCTGTTTTTTTGTAGGTACCTTTGTACCTAAGATTGTGCTATGTGTGGTGACATTATACACTTTTCACTGTACTCCCGTACTTCTGTACTTGAGTACGCATGACAATAAAATCTAAATCTAAATCTAAATAATTCTGCTCCTATACCTTATGGTCTTATGATCACACAGATTCAGAACTGAACTCAAACTGCACATGTGTAAGAGTTGTACAGTCCCTACAAGGCACACACTTCCTTTGCTTGTGACGTTTTGCTTCTTGTAGTTATGTTGCGTGACAGCAATTTTAGTTTTTACAATAATTTGCTGTATTTTTACACAAGCAGGTGATCATTTTGACAACTCCTTTATTCACAATGTACAGTGAACTATATTAAAACATATACTTTTTCCTAATGTTGAAGTTTCCTTTAGCTGATAAAGTATCAGCAGCCTCTAACTGCAATAATACATGATTACCTTAGCAAAGACTGAGGGACATTCGTTTTCACAAAAGGAATAGCCCCTTGTTTCTTCAGCACTTGGACCAAGACACTGTCTTCAGCTGCAGGCTGGTGTAAGAATTTCTTCAGTCCACATGTTGAATCATGACCCTGTGTTAAAAAATAAAATGTCTCTTGAAAAACAATATTCTTTTCCTATTTCACTTAGGACAGCAGAAACTAGTTAAAATCAAGATTGGATATATTGTCGATTTTTGCTCCCTTGCCTGAGCCTGAGGAAAATTTGCCTGGGAAAACGTGGATCTGTCTGGATGTTTTAGGAGTTTAGCAATGACTCAATATTCCCAAGAGAAAGACATGTCCAATTTTAGGGATCTACATGCAACTGAACCCAGAAAAAAATCCAAATAGGGCCCTTACATCTCCCTTCTATAGCTGCTTGAAGCTTGCATATGGTCTGTGCACAAACAGCTAACTCACCTTAAAGAATGCCTAGGAAAATCTCTGAGCAATAATAAAAAAAGTTAAATTATTGTAAACAAATATCTTCTGGGATGCAAACCATCTGCAACAGCAGTAGCACATTTCATTGGAAGGAACAAACATTTGTCTATAATCATGCCTTCCTGCAACATTGAACCATTCAATCATTCAAAAACCAGAAATACTTTCAGAGCAAAAAACATTTTTTTTATTCATTTGTGGGATGTGGGTGTTGCTGGCTGGTCAGCATTTCTAGCCCATCCTTAGCTGCCCTTGAGAAGGTGGTGGTGAGCTGGCTTCTTGAACTGCTGCAGTCCTCCAACTGTGCGTTGACCCACAATGCTATTAGGGAGGGATTTCCAGGATTTTGACCCAGCGACAGTGAAGGAATGGCGATATATTTCCAAGTCAGGATGGCGAGTGACTTGGAGGGGAACTTGGAGGTGGTGGTGTGCCCATATATCTGCTGCCCTTGTCCTTCTCGATGGAAGTGGTCGTGGGTATGGAAGGTGCTGAGGATCTTTGGTGAATTTCTGCAGTGCATCTTGTAGATAGTACACACTGCTGCTACTGAGCGTCGGTGGTGGAGAGAATGAATGCTTGTGGATGTAGTGCCAATCAAGCAGGCTGCTTTGTCCTGGACGGTGTCAAGCTTCTTGAGTGTTGTTGGGGCTGCCCTCATCCAGGCAAGTGGGGAGTATTCTTACTGAAAAATAGGTTATAAGAGGCAACTGCATGCAATCAATGGGCAGGCCTGTTGCACACCTAATGTTGAGGCCATATTGCCTTTGGACCACTGAGCTGCGGATACCAAATGGGCATCCTAGACAGCTTTTGCTTTCCTATTCACTCATGGGACTGCGCATCGCTGGCTGGCCAGCATTTAATGCCCATCCTTAGCTGCCCTTGAACTGGATGGCATTGAGAGTCAACCACATTGCTGTGGCTCTGCAGTCACATGTAGACCAGGCCAGGTGAGGACGGCAGATTCCCTTCCTTGAAGGATATTAATGATTTCGACGGGTTTTGGTTTCATGGTCATCAGTAGATTCTTAATTCCAGATTTGTTTTTATTGAATTCAAATTCCACCACTTGCCGTTGCGGAATTCAAACCTGGCTCTCCAGAATGTTAGCGGAGTTTCTGGATTAAGAGTCTAAAGATAATACCACTAGGCCATTGACAACTCTAGCCCACTAGAGAAGAAGCTTCATCCAACAGTTTGCTGTATGACTAGCCACAGATGTCAACTAAGACCTTAGAGAGATTGAGGAAGGGGTATGACCAAGGATGAAGACAGTGATAGCTGGGTTCAGGGTGAGAGAAGTTGGTACAGGAAGGCTGAATCAAAGTCTTGATCTCACATTCAAGCAAATATTTTGACCAAATCACCCTTCTGGTAGCAGTCCACTGTGACACCAATTAAATTCTGGTAAGATCATCTAAAGATCCTCCAAAATGCCATATCTTTAAATACACTTCCAGTTTGATTTGATTTATTATTGTCACATGTACCAAGATACAGTTGTTTTGTGTGCAATCCAGACATATCATACCTTATATATGTACATCAGGGTAATAGAACAGAATGCAGAATATATTGTTACAGCTACAGAGAAAGGTCAACTCTAATATAGGAGGGGTCCATTTATAAGTCTGATAACAGCAGGGAAGAAGCTGTTCTGAAATCTGTTTATTAGCTCTTTCTTCTGGCAGCTTTCTTTTCAGTTCACCATGTTGCTAGATGTGTGGTTTTAGAAATTTACAGACATCCAATTTGGATGAAATCCTTTTGCCTTTTAGAGATCAATTAGGCCATATGTTAGCTTCTGAGACAAAGAGTTTGAGAATGGGAGAACCCTAAACTGACTGATCACTTGGGTCTCTGATCTAGAAAAGAACTGTTTAAAACCAGCATGCATGCAATTCATTTGTTTCTGAAATTGGGACTGATAAGTAATTTAATAAAAGTTGCTATTTCAAGCACTTAATGGGAAACAAATTACATGATCTTTAAGCAGCAGGACAGTGCTCTAAGAAATGAAGTATCTTCTGATCACTTCAAGAGCCTTTAAGAAATACACAGGGCATAACCACATGTCCTCAAGCTTCTGGAAGCAGCTGAATTTAAAGTCAGCCTCAATTAAAAAAAAGGGAACTTCCCCACAATCGAAATGATACAACAAACTGTCAAGGCCTGTGAACTGGCAAGAGGGGAGCTCAATGGGTCCTATCAGTTGTACTTCATTGAGTATTTAATGTTGCGTTAGAATGAATCAGAGTACAGAAAGCAGATAGAGGGCTTAGTGACATGGTGCAATGAGAACAACCTCTCTCTCAGCGTCAGCAAAACTAAAACATTAATCACTGACTTCAGAAGAAAGAGGGAGAACACACCCCCATCTACACCAACGGAGCGGAGGTTGAAAGAGTCGAGAGCGGCAAGTTCCTAGGAGATGAAAACCACGTAGATGCGATGGGCAAGAAGGCACAACAATGCATCTTCTTCCTCAGGCAGCTCAGGAAATTTGGCATGTCCATAGGACCCTCACCAACATTTACAGATGTTCCGTTGAAAGCATACTGTCCGGGTGCATAATGGCCCAGTATGGCAACTGCTCTGCCCAGGATTGTAATAAACTACAGAAGGTAGTGTGCACAGCCCAGACCATCATAGAAGCCAACCTTCCATCCATGGACTCCACTTACATGGCTTGCTGCCATGGAAGGGTTGCCAACATCAAAGACCCATCGCACCCCAGTAATGCTTTCCTTTTCTGTCAGGCATAAGATACAGAAGCTTGAACACATGCACCAGCAGGTTCAGGAAGAGCTTCTTCCTGGCCATTATTAGACTGATGAATGGGCTCTCTCACTTCAAATAATGCTGATCTTGCCTAGCGCACACTCTGTGAGACGTAACCTGTATGCCTCTAAGTTTTTTTTTCACCCTATGATCTGTATGTACTTGCTTTCAATGATCTGCTTGTAATGCTCATAAACAAAGCTTTCACTGTAGACCAGTACATGTGACAATAAATAAATCAAATCAAAGATGAATAAATGCAGAATTAGGTTCCAGGGAAGCAACAACTTCAAAAGTTTTGGGTACTGTGACCCTTCCTCGCTGGACCCGAAACGTTAACTCTGTCTTTTCCTTCACAGATGCTGCCAGACCTGCTGAGCTTTTCCAGCAATTTTGTTTTTGTTTCTGATTTACAGCATCTGCAGTTCTTTCAGTTTTAACTTCAAAAGGAAACCTGGCAGGCCAGGCAGCATCAGAGGAGCAGGAAAGCTCCTCTGATGCTGCCTGGCCTGCTGTGTTCCTCCAGCTCCACACTGTGTTATCTCTGACTCCAACATCTGCAGTTCTTACTATCTCAAAAGGAAACCTGCTGTTAGTTAGAATCTGGAATATTTTGAGAAGTGAAATGTCTAAAGAAATTTAGGAAGTTTTTTGGAAACCTGGGATACCCAATTGTAAAATGGGTGTAGGCTGTTAGCGTTTGGGATCATACAGGAAAGTTCGATCTCTGTTTTGAGAATACTGTGAGAAGATTCTAATTGGATAGTGATAGGAAAATGACATCGAACAACTCACCTTATATGTAGTTACAAGGGACATATCAAAAGGAAGTGTAGAAGGGTTGCGCTCGCCACACAGTGTGTTTAGCCCGTAAAGCCCACAAAGGACTGAGTCGACTCTTAATAGCAATATGAAATGATCTTTATTGGTTATAACACAATTAATACTACACTAACAGTTATGCTACAAACTAACAATTAATAAGATAAATCTGACAATTAATACCGTAAATTTAAGTCAGTACATTGTACTTTAACTTAACTTGGAATGATCAAACATCACACACTAGACCTTGACCTTGATCCACATGGTGATGGTCTTCCCGTCTTTCTTTCCCGGTGCTCCCAGGGGCGCCTCTTCTTACAGTGGTTGGTTGAGTTCCCGCACCCGAGGGTGCTGTAGTGGCGATTCTTATCCTTGGAAGCTTCCACACCCTTTTGGGAGGATCTTCGATTCCCACCAATGGATCGATCAGGAATCGATTACCCTGATTGATCAAACCCAATCTGGCAGTGCCATGCAGACAGTGGGATAGTATTTGGTCTTCTATTTCTGAAAGTGTCAGGGGCACATAAGACAGGTAGGCTTCCCAGATAAGGGTGTGAGGCGTCCCTTTGTTCTGGAAATAGCTCGATGTTTCCTATTGTCTTGGTAAATAGGCTAGTCAATTGTGTTAACACAGTGTGGAGCTGAAGGAACACAGCAGGCCAGGCAGCATCAGAGGAGCAGGAAAGCTGTCGTTTCAGGTCGGGAGCCTTCTTCAGAAATGGGGGAGGGGAAGGGGGCTCTGAAATAAATAGAGACTGGGGGGGCGCGGTGATAGAAGATGGATAGTGGAACGGATAGGGTGGGAGAGAAGATGGACAGGTCAAGGAGGCAGGGATGAAGCTAGTAAAGGTGAGTGTAGGTAGGTAGGTAGTGGTGGGGATTGGTCAGTGAGGTGGGTTGAGCCAATAGGTGGAGGGAAGATGGACAAGTCAATGAGGCGGGGATGAGAGGGGGTGGTGGTCTTGGGATGAGGTTGGGGGTGGGGAGATATTGAAGCTAGTAAAGTCCACATTGAAACCATTGCGTTGTAGACTTCCAGGTGGAATATGAGGTGCTGTTCCCCCAGGCTCGGAGACTGCTTTGTAGAGCACCTACGCTCGGTTCACGACAAACGACACCTCCCAGTCGCGAACCACTTCAACTCCCCCTTCCAGTCCCTAGACAACATGTCCATCCTGGGCCTCCTCCAGTGTCACAACGATGCCACCCGGAGATGTGAACTTTACTAGCTTCAATATTTCCCCACTCCCGACCTCATCCCAAGACCACCACCCCCTCTCATCCCCGCCTCATTGACTTGTCCGTCTTCCCTCCCACCTATCGGCTCAACCCACCTCACTGACCAATCCTCACCACTACCTACCTACACCTCACCTTTACTGGCTTCATCCCCGCCTCCTTGACCTGTCCATCTTCTCTCCCACCCTATCCGCTCCACCATCTACCTGCTATCACTGACCCCCTCTCTCTATTTATTTCCAAGCCCCCTTCCCCTCCCTCATTTCTGAAGAAGAATGCCGACCCGAAACATCAGCTTTCCTGCTCCTCTGATGCTGCTTGGCCCACTGTGTTCCTTCAGCTCCACACTGTGTTATCTCTGACTCCAGCATTGGCAGTTCTTACCTGTCTTTTAGTCAATTGTGTATTGTGCTGACTGCAGCTAGAGCCTGCGTGTCTGGGTCTACAGCTTGTTTATTTCAGTATCTTTGCACAGATACTTTGGCCAAAGTTTGGCTTCATTTCCCATCACTATTATCCGATTCTGCCATTTTGAGTGACCCATCTCGTTACAGAAGAAACAAATTAATTGACAGCTTTCTCGTGGAATTGTGCGTGCATGAGTTTTTAAAAGAACTGGACTGGATGATTTGGTCAAAACCTGAAACATCGGGAGAGATTGGAGAGGACACACAAACACACACACTGTTTTAAAAGCCAGTAATACGAACTGAAAAGTTGGGCACACAAGCACGCACACACACATACACACACACACACATTAGTAAACTCAAGCATTCAAAAATCTGAATAAAAATAATGTGCAATGGCATGAAATATAGCAGAAAATTAGCAATAGGTAATGTTGCTCATTTGAAAAGCCAATGTAGGTACAATGGGCCAAATGGCCTCCTACTGAGCCATAAGTCTTGGACTAAATGGTACAGATGGTTTAGTTCATTGCCTTTACAAACCTGAGCTACATTCCTGGCCAATATGGGTGTTCAAGACATTCCTGGCCAATATGGGTGTTCAAGCTTAGAGCACAAGGATGAAACCACCGTATTGGCTACCTTGGGCTTAAGCCAAGGGACCAAAAGACAGGGAATGTTAGGGGCCGTTTTACACTCTAAGGGTTAAATCATACTTCCATAGTAAAAATGAAAGGCAGGTTTCAACTTTGTATGAAGTGAACCTCATGCGGCTTAGAGACTAGTAGCAGCAGGATCCCTGTAGGCACCTGTGTAAACTCGAGACAATGTTAATGAAAACATTTTAAGAAGGCCTTAGGAGGAGACAGTGTTAGAAAGCCACTGATAAAGGAAGACACAGCAACATCCAAGGTGAGACTGTTCACTCCCTGACTGGGTGAAGGAAACCTTAACAGATTAAACCATGACACAGAAGGGACGGCACAGCAGCTCAGTGGTTAGCACTGCTGCCTCACAGTGCAAGGGACATGGGTTTGATTCCATCCTCTGGCAAGTGTCTGTGTGGAATTGCACATTCTCCCCGTCTCAGTGTGGGTTTCCTCCGGGTGCTCCAGTTTCCTCCCACAGTCCAAAGATTTGCAGGTTAGGTGGATTGGCCATGCCAAATTGCCCACAGCATCCAGGGATGTGCAGGCTAGGTGGGTTAGTCATGGGAAATGCAGGGTTACATGGCAAGGGTGGGTGGGGATGGGATGCTCTGAGGGTCAGTGTCAACCTGATGGGCTGAATGGCCTGCTTCCGCACTGTAGGGATTCTATAACATTTGTTTTTTTTGCTGTGCTTGAGGACAGATTGGAATGTAGATAAGGGGATGTAATAGTATAAGCTAAATCAACTTGTCTGTGCGCCTTACAGTTTCGCTTCAGTCTAATAATTTGCTTCAGTCTAATAACTGAGGCAGATCTCTTCTTGTGTCACTCAAGTAAAATGATAATAAGAACCTAATGTTCAATTTCCCGCATTTGATTTTTTAAAAATCAAGACAATAATTTAATAGCACTCACTCGACCACCATGGTTGCAAACGGACAAACTCACCATTTCCGGCAAAGTCTTAGGTTCTCACCCCAAGTAAAATAACTTTAGTTTTGCTCCTTCTCACTTCACCCAGCAGCAGACACCATTATCACTGCATCTCCACCAACTCATTTTCACATCAAATCATCAATTGAACGTCTACCTTGTAGTTCACATTGTCCTTAATGCTGACAGGGATCCCATATAGAAGTCCTTTCTTCTTCTCATCAAGATTCTTCAGCTGTGTTTGACATTCTGGAAGAAAATCTGTGATGCAGTTCAGCAGTTCATTGACTTCCAAAGCCTTTAAAAAGAAGTAGGCAAATCAAGCACGACACTGCAAGTATGAAAATATTTTGTTTCCCTTTTCAATAATTCATATGATCTAAGCATCATTGTCAAAGCTAGCATTTATTGTGCATCCCAATTGCCCCTTGCAAAAGTGGAGGCAAGTCAACTTCCTGAACTGTTGCAGTGCACACTGTGCTGTTAAAAAAGGGAGTTCCAGAATTTTGACCCAGTGACAGCACTACGATAGTTTCAATCAGAATGGTATGTGGCTTGGAGGTGAACTTGCTGGCAGTGGCGCTCCCATGCATCTGGTGCCCTGCAAGCAATGGAGGTTGCAAATGTGTTGCAAGAGGCTTAGCAAGTTGCTGTATTACGTCTTGCAAATGGTACATATTTAGATTTAACTTAGATTTAGATTTTATTGTCACGTGTACTCAAGTACAGAAGTACGGTAGTACAGTGAAAAGTGTATAAACAGCACCATCTTACATACATAGGTACTTAGGTACAAAAAAAAGGTACGAACTAGTAAGAGAAAGAGTTAAAAAGTTAAGCGTAACCTTCACAGAATAAGTAAAAACAGAAATAAGGTAATAGTTAACATCAAAGTCTTTCTTAATTCCTTTATTTTCAAGTGCAAATTAAAAGTTCAACAATCATTGATGATTGTGCTGCAGTCCACCACTGTGTGGAGAATGTTTAATGGGTGGTGTGCCAATCATAACAGTTTGCCTGAACCTGGATGGTGACCAGCTTCTCTTGTGTTACCGTGGCTGCACTCATTCAGGTAAGTGAAGAATTAAATGATATACTCCTGCACCAACCGAGATTGATTTGTTCAGACCATATTGAGGAACAACCTGAAACTTTATTGATTTGTATGATTCCATACTATTCCAAGCCGTGCCGTAGCTAGTGCACTGTCAATGGATGAGGGGTAGGGAGAAAAATGGCAACTAAATATAAATCAAACCAAGCACAGATATAGGACACTCTCTCTAAAACAAACAAAAAGGGTGTTTCATCAATAATATTAGATGCTAAGATAAGAAACTGCAATAATTAAATGACTGCCACACCAAACAAACAGTTTTTGTGTATTCAAATCACCTGTTCAATAATGACAGCTGGGGGCAAGGGATCCAAAATTGCAGGTTATTAGGTTCTGAATACCAAATAGGATCTCAAAATGTTGCAAGCCAGGCCATGCATTTCCATACCTTCTCCATGTAAGCAAACAACACACCATCGGGAGAAAGAGAACCTTCCTGCAATCGTCCCTGAAGGTCCATAAGTGATAGAGACAGAATAGATTCAATGTCTCCAGATCTGCCCTAAAAAAAGAACATTTTGGTTACACATGGAATAAATTGCATCAGCCTGCAACATGAAGTACTATTTACCTCACTGTTCATGCATTGTAAGTTAATATTAAATTAAGAATTTTCTTGGAAAATGTAAGTATATGTTCCAGGGTTAATAATTAGTCTTCCAGAATTCTTCCATTCATGTTTGGGATGATAGAGTATAGTAGAGTATAGTGTAGTGTACAGAGTACAGTAAAGGATGATACGTAGTATACACAGCTCCTGAGATAGGAAGTGGAAAACAAAACATTGTTCTCCAACTGGAAACTACATGCAAAAATATACTGGTGACAACAAGATTTGGTTTGTTTATGATGTCCTGCATGATGGATAGCAGGCTCATGTTTTATGGCCATGCCAGCTTACTATTGTGATAAGATGTACCTTTATGAGGGATTTGTTCTGTCCTGTTTCTCTTGAAGGCGGGCATTGTAAAAATAATGCTGACATGTCTGGACCAGGGAAAGCAGAGCAAATAGCTTGGGTTTTTTATTCCCCAAAAGTAGGCAAAAGAAGCATGAGTGGGTGGAGTCAGCCTCACACAGACACTGTTTTAGTTTTTGCTTTCAGTTCTTGAAGCTGGGGGTTTGGAAGAAGACGCAAGATACTGGCTCTCTCTGCTGCTGCAAAAAGCTTGAGTTCTCTCTTTCAGCTGCTAAATTTAGTGTTCCTGTTCCTCGACTAGGGAAGATAGCAAATGAGGCATATCTGTTTTGCTGAACTTACCTCTGCCAAATGGGATGCTGCTATATTGGAACAGTTGATGAGTAGTAGTTATATATTTTATTACACATATATTTATGTCTTTTATTAAAGTCATGCCAATTTTCATTTTCTGTTTGTATTTTAACTGTAGTGTAAGAATAAAGCGTGTTTTGCTTTACACCAAGAGGTTTAATCAATTGGATCGCATCTGGAACGCAGTGCCTTACAGTTGCCTTTATATAAGAGTCTAGGCTATCTCCTTGATATATTTTGAGGGGTTTTGGTCTGATCCACAACACTACATTTGGTTCAGATACAATGCGTGTTTCTTCAATGCGAATTGGCTTTAACGCAATTGAAGAATTTAGACCGCTTTTTGTAGAACACAAACTTTCGTTATCTGTATTAGCAATAATGCGATTCCAGCCCCATTAGTTTAAATGGCGCAGCTATTGGGCGATTTGCTTATACCGCAAGATCACGAGAAACAGAACTATCGCATTATATCAGAACCGACTATATAAGCTTCCATCGTTTGTAAGGTGTACAAAACTACAAGGCCTGCTTGATCTAGTGTGCTTGAGGAAAACCACTTCCCGGTCTAATTAGAAGTGTCTCTTGTAGTTAACATGTTACAGCTCATTGCATGTTAGCAACTAGTTACAGATTCCTTTGATATGATGGACATAGTTACAGAGACTCGAGATGTTGGGATCCCAAAAGAATGAAACCTAAATTGTTCTGCCCACAAAAGCATAGTGGGAGATTCTTCTGGCACTCCATCTTCATCCTTTCAGACCTATATACATCTCCAACTTACCTTCAAAGTTATATCCTCTACTGCAAATTCAGGCAGAAACTTGCTATGAATGGGGTGGGGAGAGATGTAGAAAATTTAATCTGCAGATTACACGATTCCCCAAAACACATTCTTACACTTGGTTGTTTCCCGGGTGGACGTCCCCAAGTCCCTTAAATCCCTTGGATTTCATTTGCAGAGGTCATTTTCCCTGCTGAGACATGCAATTTCTCTTTGAACTATTTTAAATCACTGGTTTTTGAGTCCCTTCACAGTGGTGGCTTCCAAGGAGTTCCTTGATGCTTCCAAGCATCACATCTTCAATCAATCAGTCTCAGATAATTTCTATTCACAGTCTACTTCTAGATATGTGCTGAAGCATGTAAACAGTTGATATATGTCAATTGCTTTATGCTATCTCATTCATCCTGAGTGACTGAATTGCTGTGCAATGAACATGTTCACTTCCTAAAACATAAACAGTAAGTGCTGGAGAAACTCAGCAGGACTGACAGCATCTGTGGAGAGAGAAACACACAGTTAATACCGAGTCCAATTTGACTCAATGCTGGAATTGAAAAGGGAAAGATGGACGAGTACAGGCTTTCATATTGTGAAAAAGTAGGTGGAGAAGGACGAATGGAACAGAGGGGCAAGTTAGAAGGTAAGCAATAATAGAGATCACTTGGTTACAGATCAAAAAAGGGGAGTGCTAACTGTTGTAGCGGTATTAATAGCAGAATAAGTTAGTTCTGCTGAAAAAAAATCTAAGAAAACTGGACACTGATGGCAAAGGGAGATGGGTGGAAGAAGTAGGTCAGGTAGAGAAGGCAAGAAAAGGATAATGAAAGGGTGGAGTTCATAGGCTTTAAAAGTCCCTAAAATAGAAGCCAAGGTTCTGTTCTTCCAGCTTGCATGGGATTTCACTGGACGACTGCAGGGCAGAAAAGTGAACGTGAGAGTAAAATAGTGTATAAAAATGGTAAGAATTCAGAAGATCAGGGTCATGCATGCAGACTGAGTGGAGGTGTTCTACATAGTGGCTACTTCATTTGCATTTAGACTCCCTGATATTTCAGAGACCACAGGCAGGCAGTGAATACAGTAGACTACCTTGGAAGGCGTACAAATAAATCACTGCTTCACCTGGAAGAATTGTTTGGGGTCTTGGAAAGTGAAGAGGGAAGATGTTTTTATTTTAAAAAAAGGGGGTTCAATGTTGCACCTCTGCAATTAGGAACAGGAGTAGACCATTCTGCCCTTCAAGCCTGATCCATGATTCAGTGAGATCATGGCTGATCTGAAGCCTAACTCCATGTACTTGCTTTTAGTCCATATCCCTTAATAGCTTTCATTAACAAAAATTAATCTATCATGAGTTTAAAATTAGCAACTAATCTTACATTGATTGCTATTTGTAGAAGAGAGTTCCAAATGTTTTCTGCCTTTTGTGTGTAGAACTACTTCCCAATATCTCTCCTGAATGGTCTGGTCCTAATTGTCAGACTGTTCTCCCAAGATCTAGAATCTCTAACCAGTGGAAGTAGTTTCTTTATTTATCCTGTCCTTTCCTATTAATATCTTGAAGACTTTGATCAGATCACCTCTTAACCTAAATCTAGAGAAAACAGGCCAAATTGGAATAATCTCTTCTCATAACTTAACCCCTGATGTTCATGTATCATTCTTGTAAACCTACGTTGTACTACCTCCAAGGCCAAGATACCCTTCCCAAGGTGTGATGCCCAGATCTGCTCACAGTACTCCAACTGGGGTGTATCCAGGGTTTTCCGTAACTTCTACATTCTTGTACTTTGGTCCTCTAGATATAGAGGCCAGCATTCCATTGGCTTTCTTGACTATTTTCTGAACCTATTTGTGACCTTTCTTAAAGATCTATGCACTTGAAATTGCATGTGAATGCACCAAAGGGGGAGGAGGAAGTGATGGAGTTGACAGTGGAGTGGACCAGGGAGTTATGATGGAAACAGTCCCTTCGGAGTATTGTCAGAGGAGGAGAGGAGATGATGGTATGTTCTCTCAGATTTCCAGCAATCATAATATTTTGCTTTTGTCCAATTATTTGAAGACAGTAACTGTGACAAGGCCAGAAACAGAGGATTCTTCCTGGGGATATACAGAAGTCAAATATTCTGCCTGAACTTGACTCTAAGTCAGCAAAACATCTAACATCAGAGTGGAGTCTGTCAGCAGACGTATTCACCAAGCTGTGTTGCACTCTGAACTACACCAGTTATAAATGTGTTAGTTAGCCCTGATGGAGAATGCTATCCACTGGCTACCTCATTATTAATTTTTCCTGGCAAATCTAGCTTGTCCTTACAGCCTTAATGTTTTTCAATCTTGATGGCAGTGGAAAACATTTGTGTCAACCCCATATGTTCAGCGGGTCTCATTTTGTTGGCTATACGAATTTTTTCTTTCTGTTAACTTAACTGATCTCGGAATGTATTTTTTGTTTCATTTAGATTCCACTATGAGTCTCGGGTGTCCTATAAAATCTGCTACTGGCTGTACTTGTGGGTTTTTTTTCCCTTTAGCCAGCTTTTCCCTAACTTTAACTCCTTTTGCCATTTGGAGAACATGGCGGTCAAAACCAATGACACCCGACTCACGAGTGTAAAATTTTGATTCTGCAGTATGTATAAAGATTTTTCTATGAGTTGGTATCCCCTATTTGTAACATTCTTTTGATTTCAAGTGCTAAATCTCCCAGAACATGCAGGTGCATTGTTGTCAGTTGTAGACAGTATTTTCTTAATCATGGCTCACTATCTAATCCTACAGTGACAGACACTCAGTATTGTCTGACTTGAAATTCAAGATGATCACTGACAACTATCGGTTTGACAAAACATTAGGTCTGAATCACCTATTTCCCCTAGGGCCACTTGATGTTTTCTTCGGTTTTAGACTATTTTAGTTTATTAACCTTTATGTGGGTAGTTACTTGATTTGTCGCTTTTCTGAAACAGTATCTCACTTCTGCACGTTGTCAAAGTTGCCTATTGCATAGCAGATACAGCATTTCCTTTTAGTAGCTGTGCAGTGCCTGTGTCTGTGAGATTTCACAAGGACCTTGTTCTGTGCCAGTCCTACTCACTGTACAAGATTTTCATGTTTTGTTTGTGACTCCATCCATAAATTGACAGCTTTGAATGTAGTCTGCTGACCTCCTTTCCCAAGGTTGATTTTCCTTTCTGATTGATCCACGTTGCTTCTAGATTTTTGTTTCATTCACCATCAGAATGGCTTTAATTTAAAAACAGCTGAGAGTCAGGTTTTCTTTGGACGGTAATAAATCTAACAAAGAGTCAACAACACCAACAATTTTGTCTCATATAAATACTAAGTTGAAGTCACCCTAGTTGCATTTGTCCATGATCTGTAGAATCATAACTGAGACCAGCTCTGGATTCCCCTGGATGTTGAACTTTATTAAATATTGCTTTTTCATGAATTGTTATTAGTTCTCAGCTTGAAGTGATTGTCAAAGGGTTTCAGTTTTTCTTCAAAAGATATCCATTGCTTAGTTCACCAATTACATCAGCTGTACTCCAAATAGGGTAAATAAGTATATCTATTTATTCAGTTTGATTTAAGAAGCTATTCTGTATCTCAGAATATTTTTCTCAAGATGCCCAGTTCTGTGTTCTATTTGACCAATGTCTGAAATCAAGCGCTCCTAGCAATATTTTATTTTGTCCTTTAAGCAAGCAAAATACAGCGACAATAGGAGCTCCGCTGGCATACAAAAGGGCTTTCCAATGTTCTGAGGCTAAAATGGAAGATTCACACCCTTCTCAGACAACATGGAGGCTGTGTCCCCCTTTTCCAGCTTCACTGTTTAAATTGCACTGTGCATGGCTTTATTAAACAATTTTTGTTTTAATCATGGTTCTACTGAATGATTCCTGCTCCTTACAGTTTAAGCAAAAGATGGGAATCATTTTTCACACCATGTATGAACAATCTTCTACCTTTTCCATGGCCTGAATAAAGTCTCAAACCTTCTGCACTCATTACACCGGATCTGCTCAGGTTTTTAAAATCTGCCCAGTGTTTAAATTAAAAACTTTACATTACAATGTCCCTGGACCCGTGACCTCAGATTAATGGGGTATACAAGGTGTAGAGCTGGATGAACACAGCAGGCCAAGCAGCATCAGAGGAGCAGGAAGGCTGACGTTTCGGGCCTAGACCCTTCTTCAGAAATGGGGGAGGGGAAGGGGGTTCTGAAATAAATAGGGAGAGAGGGGGAGGCGGATAGAAGATAGATAGAGGAGAAGATAGGTGGAGAGGAGACAGACAGGTCAAGGAGGCGGGGTTGGAGCCAGTAAAGGTGAGTGTAGGTGGGGAGTTAGGGAGGGGATAGGTCAGTCCAGGGAGCACGGTCAGGTCAAGGTGGCGGGATGAGGTTGGAGATGGGGGTGGGGCTTGAGGTGGGAGGAGTGGATAGGTGGGAGGAAGGTTAGGGAGGCGGGTATGAGCTGGGCTGGTTTTGGAATGCGGTCGGGGGAGGGGAGATTTTGAAGCTGTTGAAGCTGTTGATGCTGACATCAATCGCCTCAACCTCTCCACCCCTCTCTTCCACTCCAACCTCTCCCCCACAAAACGTGCAGCCCTCCGCTCCAATCTCAACCTCACTATAAAACCCGCGGACAAGGGAGGCGCAGTTGCAGTATGGCAAACTGACCTTTAGATCGCCGAGGCCAGGTGCCAACTCTCTGATATCTCCTCCTACCGCCCCCTTGATCATGACCCCACCCCCAACATCTCCCAAACCATCCACAACCTCATCACTTCAGGTGACCTCCTGCCCACAGCCTCCAACCTCATCATTCCCCAACCCTGCACCACCCGTTTCTATCTCCTTCCCAAAATCCACAAACCTGACTGCCCTGGTCGACCCATTGTCACCACCTGCTCCTGCCCCACCGAACTCATCTCTACTTATCTCGAATCCATTTTCTCCCCCTTGGTCCAGGAACTCCCCACCTACGTCCGTGACACCACCCACGCCCTCCATCTCCTCCAAAATCTCTGATTCCCTGGTCCCCAACACCTCATCTTTACCATGGACATCCAGTCCCTATACACTTGCATTCCCCATGCAGATGGCCTAAAGGCCCTCCGCTTCTGCCTGTCCCGCAGGCCCGACCAGTCCCCCTCCACTGACACCCTCATCTGCTTAGCCGAACTCGTCCTCACCCTCAACAACTTCTCTTTCAATTCCTCACACTTCCCACAGACAAAGGGGGTGGCCATGGTACCCACATGGGCCCAAGTTATGCCTGCCTCTTTGTAGGATACGTGGAACAATCCCTCTTCCGAAGCTACACTGGCCCTATCCCCCACGTCTTCCTCTGTTACATCAATGTCTGTATCGGCGCCGCCTCGTGCTCCCACAAGGTGCTCAAACAGTTCATCCACTTCACTAACACCTTCCACCCCAACCTTAAGTTCACCTGGACCATCTCCAATACCTCTCTCTCCCCTTCCTGGACCTCTCTGTTTCCATCTCTGGCAACCACCTGGAAACCGATATCCATTTCAAGCCTACCGACTCCCACAGCTACCTAGAATACACCTCCCCTCACCCACCTTCCTGCAAAAAGGCCATCCCCTCTTCCCAATTCCTTCGCCTCCGCCGCATCTGCTCCCGAGATGAGGCATTCCACTCCCAGACATCCCAGATGTCCTCGTTTTTCAAGGACCACAACTTCCCCTCCACAGCGGTCGAAAACACCCTCGACCGTGTCTCTCGCATTTCCCACAACTCATCCCTCACACCTCCTCCCTGCAATAACAACCAAAACAGAATCCCCCTCATCCTCACGTACCACCCCACCAACCTTCGGATACAACGCACCATCCTCCAACACTTCCGCCATCTGCAATCTGACCCCACTACCAAAGATATTTTTCCCTCCCCACCTTTATCTGCTTTCCGGAGGGACCACTCTCTCCATGATTCCCTTGTCCGCTCCCCACTCCCTTCCAGCCCCACCACCCCTGCACTTTTCCCTGCAACCGCTGGGAAGTGCTACACCTGCCCCTACACCTCTTCTCTCATCCCCATCCCAGGCTCTAAGAAAACCTTCCACATCAAACAGATGTTCGCCTGCACATCTGCTAATGTGGTATACTGTATCTGTTGTTCCCGTTGTGGCCTCCTCTACATCAGGGAAACCAAGCGGAGGCTTGGGGACCGCTTTGTGGAACACCTACGCTCGGTTCGCAACAAACAACTGCACCTCCCAGTCGCAAACCATTTCAACTCCCCCTCCCACTCCTTGAACGACATGTCCATCCTGGGCCTCCTGCAGTGCCACAACGATGCCACCTGAAGGTTGCAGGAACAGCACCTCATATTTCGCTTGGGAACCCTGCAGCCCAAAGGTATCAATGTGGACTTCGCAAGCTTCAAAATCTCCCCTCCCCCGACCGCATTCCAAAACCAGCCCAGCTCCTACCCGCCTCCCTAACCTGTCCTCCCACCTATCCACTCCTCCCACCTCAAGCCCCACCCCCAACTCCTCCCTACTAGCCTCATCCTGCGTCCTTGACCTGTCCGTCCTCCCTGGACCGAACTATCCCCTCCCTAACTCCCCACCTACACTCACCTTTACTGGCTCCAACCCCGCCTCCTTGACCTGTCTGTCTCCTCTCCACCTATCTTCTTTATCCATCTTCTTTCCGCCTCGCCCTCTCTCCCTATTTATTTCAGAATCCCCTTCCCCTCCCCCATTTCTGAAGAAGGGTCTCGACCCGAAACGTCAGCTTTCCTGCTCCTCTGATACTGCTTGGCCTGCTGTGTTCATCCAGCTCTACACCTTTTTAACATTGATATGATAGACTTTGCTACAGCAACCTTCAGGAGGATCAGATGTTAGTTGTCACTCTTTTGGAGATGCTAAGTTGTACTGTCCCCATGACTCTTCAGACACTTACTGGAGAAGCAATGGCCTAGTGGTATTATCGCTGGACTGTTAATCTGGATAACATTCTGGGGATCAGGGTTCGAATCCTACCATGGCAGATGGTGGAATTTGCATTCAATAAAATATCCGGAATTAAGAATCTAACGATGACCGTGAATCCATTACTGGAAAAACCCACCTGGTTCACTAATGTCCTTTAGGGAAGGAAACTGCCATCCTTACCATCTGGCCCACATGTGTCTGCAGACCCACAGCAACGTTGTTGACTCTGAACTGCCGTCTGGGCAATTATGATGGACAATAAATGCTGCGATGCCCTCATCCCATTAATGAATAAGGGGGAAAAAAAACTCACATCTTATTCTAATCCCAACCAAAAAATGGTAGGCTAGTAGTTATTTCAAGTTAGCTTCTGACTCAGAAGCTAATTATGTGTAATTTGAACGTTACACTAACAATGCCCAAACACACCAAATGTTAGTTCTGATTACTCATGGGACCTGACTGCAATATTAACCAGACAGCCTGTGCAAGTAGCTAGCCACAATACTTTTCCTACATGTGAGAGATGAAAATACATGACAGCCCCCAAACAAATGTGCGTACTTCATCAAACACCACAGTGACAGCGGAGAGCTCCCTCAGCACAGTCAAGGTTTACTCCAGAAACCCAACAACACTCAGCAAATAGTGTGATGATGCTACAGCTTTAAGAGGTGTACTTGGTCTTTTTGTTAAATGAAGGCTGAGACAGAGATAGTGACCTGTCTGCTTCAAAGCCCATAAAGTAAACAGCTTGAGGCCTTGGGTTCTTTTTCCTAAATTTTAAACATCACAAGCAGCCTGAATGGGTGGAGTCAAGCTCCCACAGAATCAGGACTTCAGTAACAGTTATTGCCGGAGTCTTAAAGCTGGGTTTGGAAGCAACAGTGTATCGCTCCCTGCTACTGTTTTCTCTTGATTTTTTTTCCTACTGGACTGGAGAATTGCATTCGAGACAATCTATTTGACTGAATTTGCCGAGGGTGTGTTTATGGGATGTTGCTATATTGGAACAATTACTGTTTATGAGTTAATTAATCTATTATTCTGTTAAATTTCCCAATAGAGTTACATTATTCCAATTTCTTCTTCCTTTTGCAGTGTAATAACAATAGTGTTACAAATAAAACACATTTTGCTTCAAGACTGGTAGTTTGACCAATTGAATTGCATCTGGAACGCAATGTCTGGCACTTGATTTTAAAATAAGAACAGGTTAGTATCTAGGCTGCCTTGATATATTTTGAATCAGAGATAGTAGGAACTGCAGATGCTGGAGAATCCGAGACAACAAGGTGCAGAGCTGGATGAACACAGCAGGCCAAGCAGCATCATAGGAGCAAAAAAGGCTGACGTTTCGGGCCTAGACCCTTCATCAGAAATGGGGGAGGAGAAGGGGGTTCTGAAATAAATAGGGAGAGAGGGGGAGGGGGATAGAAGATGAATAGAGGAGAAGATAGGTGGAGAGGAAACAGACAGG